GAGAGAGAACACATAACAGAATTGTAGCTAAATATTTCCCCAATTCTCAATTTTCTGTTAGAGCTCACTTTTGATCTTACAAATCTGTCCTATCAGATCTTCCATTACTGAGCATCCTTGAGCAACTCTTCGGCTTATCCTCTTCCTCACTGTGGGGGTCCAGCCATGGTCCCAGGATGTCTCAGTGACCACTGGGCTGGCCCATTCCAGGCCTCACCTCACCTCCACGCACTTCATCATTCCAGGGCTTTGGTCACTGGTATCCACCGTTACCTTGAGCTACCCTACCTCTGAGACAGTCAACTTAACATCCCTCTCTCCTCCAATTCCCTCTCCCTTTTTAAAATTAATGTTCTCACTTCCTCTCTCCCCACTGGACTTTTTTCTTCCTTCCCTGGTGTGAATACTTTCTCTGAGAGGGCCACCTTCCCCACTCTCCAGCCTGCCTTTGGCCCTACCTTCTTTTCTGCCAAGCCTGGGCTCCATGATGAGTTACCTGAAGCATCCTTCTCCAAGCTCTCGTAACCTCTCTTCTCCAATATCTTTCCCAGTCCCTGCCCTGAAAATCTCAGTGTCATGCACCATTTACAGTTTGGCTTCTCTACCCCTTAGCCTGATGGCACCAAAACTGAAGCTAGCAAGTGCTCACAGGACAGCCAACATCTTGGGGATGTCTGCCATTTTGGTGATCTTTCCTTCTCGTTCTCCTTGCTGCCTTCTACAAACCTTCACTGCTCCACTTATACCATCTTTCAAGTCTCTCTAATATTGCTATTAGAAGGTGATCTTAAGAGAATCTTCAAATGGTCCATATTCCCATCACAACCTTCTCCCCTCTCCTCCACACCCCACATATCATCCCCTCCCTCCCATCCGCAATTCCTTACCAACACTCTTTGAAGAAGGAGAGTTCTTCCTCCAGCTCTAAGCTTAACTTTACTATGCCAAGCATCTCCCTGTTTCTTGTATCTTCAACCTCTTCTTCTTTCATAGTGTCTTCCTCAGATCCTCTAAAATTACTTAAATTTCTTCCACCTTCAAAACAAACTAAGCAAAATAATTTGACTTTTCTTTCTCTTTCAAAGATAGACCTCTTTTCCCTTCCATTTATAGCCAAGCTGTATTTGATGTTTCTACTCCTTCATGCCTCATGAACTCTTTTTACAACTGTACATTTTTTGAATTTTCATATGAAAAATGCTAAATGTCCATCATAAGAATATATCAGGCAATATGGAAAGATATAAAGAAGAAAATTAGAAATCTCTAATTTACCCATTTACAGTTATGTTTCCTATTTAGTTATACATTATTTTTCTACTTCATCTGTAAACATTTTATTTTATAATTACCAATAAATTAAGATACTCTTTAAAAATTCCTAATGCCATTATAATACCTAAAAATAAATTAACAAAACTTCACCATTGTAACACTTTGATGACTGTTCGTCCAGATTTTTTTCTATTTATAGATATATGATATAGGTATATGAGTACATCCAATTTTATTTTAAAATACCATTGTAGTGGCCGTATGTTCAATCCGAGAGACCACCAAGAGCCAATTCCGATGAAAGTTCAAGAGGGTCTTTATTTGCAAACTCGAGCCTGGACCTCTGT